GGCCAGCCCTGACCACCCCCCCCGCCCGGCCCTGACCGTGCTGTCTGAACAGGTCGCTGCGTGGGCTGGTGCACATCTGGAGCCTACAGACGCGGAGGCCGATCGCGGCCCTGGACGGCCATGGGGGCCAGTGTGTGACCTGGCTGCACACGCTTCCCCGGGGGCCCCAGCTGCTCAGGTGGGTCGCGGTGGCGCTGACCCAGGGGTAGAGGTCTCCTGTGGACGGCCCGGGGCCCCAGCCGCAGGGCAGCCCCAGCACCACGGGGCTGTCCTAGGGCGGCCTCTGTGGAGAACCCACCGGGGAGCTCCTGTGGGCTGGGGCTGTGGATCCACTTTGAGCACAGCGGCCGCAGGCTCCCCCTGTCAGGGCCCACAGGCCGCGGGCGGCTCCTGAGTGCTCGCGCCCCAGCCAGGGGCCTCGTGGGTGGCAAGGAAAGACCACGTGCCACAGCGAAGACCAGACGCGGCCACAGCAGCTAATGAAGCAAATGCTGAAGATGAAGGGAGAGCCACTCCTCGCCCGGATGGTTGAGGCCGCGCCCCGCAGCCCCTGGCCCGGGCGGGGCCCACACTGGCCCGCCGCCCTCTGCAGGCTGGGCCGTGGTGTAGGGATACCCGCTCCACAGCTGCCTTCCTGCGTGGGGGAGGTTGGTCCCCGGGGCGGCACCGAGCCTGCGCTGAAGCTCTGCAGGCTGCTTCCCTGCAGGTGCTGGGGGGGTGGGAGATGGCAGAGCGAGGGGTACAGTTTCCGGGCAGGAGACCATGTGTGTGGAGGCCGCGTGGGCCTGACCTGTGCATCCCAGGAGGGGCTGGGGGCTGGCATCAGGGCAGGGGCCCGCGGAGGCGATGGGACGCGCCCCAGCTGGGCGGTTGGCCAAGAGGCAGCCGGAGGGCGCTGGGGGGTACAGGGCACGCTGGGGGCCTCCGCCTTCCCCTGGAGAGAGGCACCGTCCAGGACTGGGGCCCCACTGTCAGACTGCCTGCTGTCTGGGGCTCTCTGCCTTTCTTCAGGGGTCATACCCCCAGATAGCTGACAGGTCAGAGGGCTTTCCCAAGCACCTTCTGCCCCAGAACTCCTGGACAGGTCGGCTCTGCGGCTCTGGACTTGAAGCCTGGGCACCTGGGCACCATGGCGCCTGGTCCCCAGGAAACGAGGCCTCTAGGCCCCAGGGGGCTTCAAAGCACTTTCATGCTGGACGCAAGCATCTTGCGAGCCTGGGGCGGCTGAGGCTGGGCAAGTCGGGGCCGTGTCCTGGGCGTGTGCTCGTCCAGCCCCTGCAGGGCCTCGCCCCATCCCCCACACTGCCCAGATGCACCCCTTGCACATGGGCCTCGCTCTCTCCATGATGGTTGGAGTAGAGGCTGTGTCCGAAGACCCTGCTGAGCTGCCCAGCCTTCCTCCTGGGTGTCGAGTGGAGGTGTAGGCCTTTATGGGCCCCCTGCTCCCCCAAGCAACCTGGGCTATCCTGGGGGAGCCCCCCAGGAGGCGGGCCCCTTGGAAAGCCGGCTTGTGCACACGTTGGGGGGTGCTGGCGTGCGTGCGTGACAGCTGGCCAGGGTGCCCCGCCGGGACAGACACAGAGCGCGCAGGTACTTGAGGGGCCAGGTGTGTATGGCAGCGTGGAGGCTGGGGCCCAGCTGTGTTTGTAAGTCTGGCCTCTGAAGTGGCACTCGAGGGGAAGGTGCCCCTTCACGTCAGAGGCCGGAGGACAAATCTGGGGCCCGGGCCGGCCTCACCAGGCCCCGCAGCCCCCCGGCCTGGCCTGCACGCCCGAGGCCACACCTGTGCCCATGGGCGGGCCCCTCCTTCTGCTCTGGGCCGAGTGACAAGCTTACAGAAAGAGGCCTGGGAGTTTGAGCGTGGCTGTGTGGTCGTGGGAGAGCCCTGGGCAGCCGCGCTCCCCCGCCCCTGTTTGCCTGGCCCTTCCTCTCCATCTTTGGAAGGATGCCCCCACCTTCTTGCTTTACCGTCTGAACAGGCATCTCCAAAGTGCGGAGACTCGTTTTCAGTTTTGGGGGGTTTTTAACCTAAATGAGCGACCGGGCAGCTTCCGCCCACCCTGCCGGCGGGACGGGCCAGGGTGTGCAGCTGCCATGTCGTGAGTTCCTGTCCTGCTCTGCACGTGTGGTCCAGGTGCCTGCCTTTGCCAGTGCGCAGCAGAGGGTTTCACCTGGGGCTGGTGTGGATGAGGCTTGAGAAGCCTCCCGGAGGCCCCCGGTGCCCAAGAAGAGGCTCCCGCTGGCCGGCCTGGGGTCGGGGTGGTCGGGACACAAACATCAGTGAGGACCGTGGGCGACGGCCCGTTAGTCACACGGGAACAGGCGGAGGTGAGGGCCCCCCCTGCCCCGGGGGGGTCACCATCGTCCACACAGGTGCCCACTTCGGGGGGGCGGCTTTTAGTGGGCACACCTGGCAAGCACATCTGTGCAGGCGTGACGGGTGGGCGTCAGCCTTGTGCACAGGGTCGTCCCCGTGTTGTTGGCCCCGAGTGTGAAATGCCACCCTGGAGATGACACCCAAGGGCCCCCACACACACGAGGGACAGGGCGAGGCACAGCCTGCCCGGTCCAAGGACCTGGTGAGCGCTGGCCAACCATTGTTCGCCCAGGATCCAGGCTAGCCACTCCCAGCCCGGCGATGACGCGCGTGGCTGTGCCTGGTCCTTCGGCTCGGGGGCCAGCATGGAGGCCCCGTGTCCCCACTGCCCTCGTGGGCTGCCCAGCCCCGTCTCTGCTTCTGTCCCGTCCCACGCATGACTCCTGCCCCGGGTACGGGCTCATGGCCCGCAGGGGGTCTCGTGCAGCCCCCAGGTCAGCCCACCCGCTGTCCCGGCCCCTCCGTCCCCTCCCACCTGTGCCCACGTGCCTCCCCGTGTTCCTGGCCCTTGGCCGGCCCTTGGTTCTTTGGGCTAAGCCTCCCGTTCCCTGGACCCCTGGGGCTCTCGGCTCGGACTGCTGCGGTGGGCCTTCGGGAGGAGACCCTCTGCGTCCATGCCTCGTCCCCCGGGCGCGTGCGCGCAGTGCACATGTCAGAGACGGTCCCCTGCTCCTGGGCTCCTCGGACGGGAGACCCGAGGGCCAGCAAGGGGCCGCTGCAGGGACGCAGGCTTGAGCTGCAGTGGGCCCAGCCTTTCAGGGCGTCAGTGCCAGGCAGTGGGCGGGCTCCCGCGACCTGTCCTCAGTGTCCGCCCCTGTCTGCCACGGACCCCAGGCCGGCGCATCTGGGCCACAGGCGCAAGTGTGGCCCTTCTCAGTGCAGGAGCCGGGGCCCTCCCCGCGAGGGTCACAGCCCGCCTCCTCCTGTTCTGGCAGCCAGGGCCGCGACCTGCAGCTGTGTGTGTGGGACCTGGCAGAGGGCAGGAATGCCGTGGTGGACGCCGTGCGTCTGGAGAGCATGGGCTTCTGCAGGGCCTCCATCCTGGCCGACGGCCCACAGCGCTGGATGGTGGCCGTGCCCGGGAGAGGTAATGACGAGGTGAGTGAGCCCCGAGCAGCTCTGGGGTCTCTGAGCGGCCTAGGCCTGGTCTTCTACATGGTGGCCATGGTGGTGGGCTTGGGCAGGGGGCCCAGGTGGGCTGAGGTCTCCGGGAGGCCCTCAGGGCATCAGGAGCAGGCAGACCCATGTGGTCCAGGTGGGCCTCAGAGCCGGGCCAGCAGGGGAGGTGGCCTATTGGGGTCAGAGCTGGGCGCCAGCGTGAGGCCTTGGGCAGGGCTGGGACGCTGCTGGGGGACATGTACCGGGGTGGCGACTGCAGGACAGAGGGGGACGTCAGAGAGCAGGCCCCAGGGTCACTGTTTGGGGGGCGCAGGCTGAGCGGGGACTGGTCAGCTGGGCCTGGGGGGGTGCTGGGGGGCTCAGAGCCACATACCTGGGGGCGGCACCCCCTCCATCCCTCACTGTGTCCCTGCTCCCTGAGGGCCGTTTGGCAGGCAGGGCTGGGCAGGCACTCGAGCCCTGCACCCAGGAAGTTTGGCCAGCGCCCAAGAGGAGCCGTGAATCTCAGAGCAGACCCAGCTCATAAATAACGAGGCAGGAACAGGCGTCTGTTTGTTCGCCGAGGCACCTAAATCTCCAATTAGGAGCTACATGTGCTTTTGTTGCCAATTTGCCAAAAACCTGTTAAAAGTTTTATTAATGTGAAGAGAGAGGGCTCCGCTCTCTACTGCGGCAACAGCTAGATGGTACTGAGCCTTCTGCACTGGCGCCCTTCCCGAGCGGGCGGCGGGGTCTGGGCCGGGGGATAGGCGCCTCCTGGGAGGGGGCCGTTCGCCGTGTTTCCGCCTGGACTCAGGCCGCGGGCCCGGGGGCGCCGGATGTGCCCAGGACGTGCTCCTGCCCCACCGGGCCTGGCCGTCTGGGTGGCCATGCTTGCCCGAACCAGACATCCTTCTGGAAGCAGAACGTGCCCTCGGATGCCAGGAGGGAGCAGTGGTGTGTGGGAGGCCCCCCACCCACCGACCACAGGGACCGCGGCCACGCGCTCTCAGGCCAGCACCGCCCCCGGCCAGGCCCCCAACACGCAGGCCCACGGCCCCTGGGCCCTGCCCTCGGCCGGGACGCGCCTGGACGCCTGAGGCCTGGGGGGCCTCCCCCGAGAGGACCCAGTGTCCTGGTCTGCCCAGTCACTTCCGGGCCACACCCTGGGCCTCTGCGTCCTCCCCAGCGTCCTTTGTCCTGCTGGCACCTCTCCTGAGCCTCACAGCTGCCGCGGGGGTGTGTTCGGACTTGTGGCGGGGCAACCCTCTTGTGGCTCAGGTCCTTTTCCGCATCTTTGGGGCAGTGAGGACAAGGTGTGCGGGGCAGAAGCTGGCCCTGCAGGCACGACAGTGTGGAGAGCGTGTGTCAGACGCATGTGCGTGTGTGGTGTTGGTGAGAGCGTTCACCCCCACACCGCATGTCTGCACCTCTGGTTCACCCGGAGTCCCTCCCAGGGGTCCTGTGTTCGGTCCTGTATTCCCAGCAGGCGTCCAGTCCTCTCAATGCTGCAGACTGCACCGCGGCCTAGCCATCCGCAGACCTGGGCTGCCTGTGTCCCCGCCGGCACGCTGCCCGTGGCATGTCCCCCACAGAGTGACCACCGGGCAGGGCACCCAGGAAGGTCTGTGCTGGCGTGGGCGACTCCAAGCACAGGCCAGCGCAGCGGGCACTGGGGGCCAGGACAGCCCGGAGGCTCCAGGCCATCCATTTCAGGCCCAGTCCGGCGGGGGTGCCAGGAGGGCGGGGGCACAGGCGCTGAGTCAGCACGCCGGGCCAAGCCGCCCGGCCGACCAGGAGGTCAGCGTGAGGGAGGCCCCAGGCGGCTGCTGGATGGTAGCGCCCTCGAGGGCCCCGCCGGTCACTGGGGAGTCACGTGTGCCTCCCACACGGCCGGGAGCCAGGGGGCCGTGCGGAGGCGCAGACAGGCCCGCAGCGCCGAGCTGAGTGAGGCTCGAGACTCCTGCTTGTGCGGCCCAGACTCAACCTGGCTGCAGCCCAGACCCGCCTGTTTTTTACTGTCAGGTCCAAGTTCTGGAGCTGCCGTCCAAGACGTTGGTGAGCTGCCTGAAGCCCGAGGCGGGGGCCAGACTGGGCATGCCCATGTGCCTGCAGCTCTGGCAGGTAAGGCCCCACGCCCGGCCACGCCCTGGCCACGCCCCCGGGCGTGAGTCATGCCTATTAGGGACGGGGCTCCTGGTCCCCCTCTTCCACCACCTTGCCATCCCCAGCCTGCCCCGCTCCTGCTGCAAAGGCGCCTGCAGCCCCCGCAGGACACGGGCTCGTTTTCACGCCCGTGGGTGGTGGGGGTCAGCGGCCACCTCCCTGGGGAGCCACGTGCAGCCCTCTGGTTTGTGGGCGGTGCTGGCCAACTGTGCAAGCCTCGTGGCCTCTGCTCGCGGGATGAGCTGCCTAGCTCTCTAGCTGGTGGGGGGCTCAGTGCTGCTGTCCAGCGGCCGTGTCTGCCTCTCTCGGCCGACCTTGCTGACCGCATGTGGTCGGGAGGTGTCTCCGAGGTTGCAGCGGGGGTGGGGGCGGCCTCGGTCGCCGTGGCATCTCTGCTCCGGGGGTAGCGAGTGGACGGCTCAGGGCATGCACTCCGGAGACTGGGCGGCGTCCTTGCTGCCACAGACACCATGGGGAGCGGGTCACTGACCGGGGCCGCTCTCCTATGCCACTGGGACTAGGGGAGCCATCCCGCCCTGCAGTTAGATGTGGCCCCACGGGGTGAAGGGGCCTGTGCGCCCCGCTCCTGGCCCTCCAGGGCCCTGCCCTTCCTCATACTCGCTGCCCCTGCAGCTTCTGAACTGAGAGCAGCCCACGGGGGCGTAGGGAGGTGTGGGCCCCGAGACGCCCCTGGACGGTGAGGCTGTGGGTGCCAGGCTGGCGGGCCAGGGGGGTGGGGGTGCTCACAGGCCCCAGAGGGGACACATCGCATCCACTCACTCTCTCTGGAGACGCTGTCAGTGTCGTTGCCTAATCGTGTAAGAATTCCATCAGAACCACATGTAGAAACAGGATGTACAAACTTGTCAAGGTAACCAGCACAGCTGACAGAAGGACACGCTGAGCTGCGATGGCTGATACGGATCCAGCCCAGAGCCCCTGGCTCAGAGTCCGCTCTGGATGTCTCTCCAGGCCTGGGTCTCGGACTGCCTACCGCTGACGGATCCAAGTGTGGCAGGGGGCCTGACCAGCCAGTCAGAGGCCTTCTTGTTCAGCTCCTGAGAACAACGGCGTGTGTTGTGAGGAGGATGGTCACGTGGGAGGTCAGGGGTCATGCACACCCGACCTGGAAGCTGGCCTACCAATGCCCGCCCTCTGGCCAAGGAGCTCCCTGGGAACCTGGAGGTGCTGGGGCCCCTGTGGCCAGCACACCCGAGGGCGGGTGGGGATGCTGAGTGAGTGGGGGGGGCCTGCCCGTGGGGTCTCTGTGTACGGCAGGGGGCCTGGGGGTCTCAGCGCAGGGGGGTGGGCCCCGCACCAGGAGCTCTGACTGCTGCCCCCACCGCTGCACGGGGCCCGGACGGGTCGGTGGCGTGCAGCCCTCACTTAGCCATGTGCTCGGAGCCCCCGGCCCAGGAGCGGGGCAGCCCCCGTGCCAGGGGAACATGCAGGCAGGGGCGGCGGGAGGCCAGGGCGGAGCCCCCAAGGGGTGGACCCAGGCCCAGCAGTCCGCACGGTGGGAGCTCATGTAGTCATCTGAAAACCGGGCACACGGGGGCCCTCCCATCCCTCCAGACCCCGGGTGGACCCGTGCGGGGCTCCCCGCCCCCTTCTCTCCCCGGCACCCTCGCGTCACGCGTGCGGTGCAGCCCCAGGCCCGCAGGAGGGCCGTGTCCAGTGAAGCCCAGGCCGTGTCCAATGGCAGCCTCCCTTCCCAGGGCTGCGGCAACCCCGGGCCAGGCCCCCGCTGGCCCTCCAGGACCCAGGGCGGCCACTGAGCCCCTGGTCGGGGAAGCCCCACGGCCCAGGTGAGGGGCGGGCGTGCTCGGTCAGCTCTGAGCCCCGGGGGCTTGGCCAGCGGTCCCGGGGCGGCCACCAGGCTCAGGGCAGCTGCTCCTGGTTGGTGCCAGGCCGGCCTGGGGTCCACATGCCCCCCACCCCCTGCGGCTGCTGCGCAGCCTCTGACCCGTGCCCTCATCTATCACACGGCGGGCGGGGCGCTGACTCCATGGGCTTGGCGGCCAGAGGCGGGGGGCTCGCAGTGACGTTGACAGAGTGCAGAAGGCTCATTTTTCACAGAGACGGAGCTCGGGGTTTTCTTTGGCCGGCTTGCCAGACAGGTGGCCGGCCCTGCCCAGGGGTAGCCGCGCATGTCAGTGGCGGGAAGGAGCCGGAGGGCCGGCCCGTGCCCCGCGTCCCCTGGCGCTGGCCCAGACTGCCTGTTGGACCCCCGGGCCCAGCGGGGCGGGCCACCGTCCCCAGCCCTTTCTCCCCACGGAGCCGATGCCCCACTGTCCCCGCAGGCTGCGTCCAGCTCCCGCCCGTCGCTTCTGGCCGGCTACGAGGACGGCTCACTGGCCCTGTGGGACGTCTCCACGCGGAAGGTGTGCAGCCACGTCGCCTGCCACTCGGAGCCCGTCATGGGCCTGGCCTTGGACCCGTGGAGGGCCAGGGGCGTGTCGGGCTCCGCGGAGAAGGCACTGGCCGTCTGGAGCCTGGAGGGGCAGCAGGCACTGCAGGTCAGCGGGCCGGGCCGCGGGTTCATCCATCCTGCTCCGCGCCAGCGGTCTGATGGGCTGAAACAATATTTAGGCATGAAGAGGACTTGGTGCAGGTCCCCGGCTAATTAATCATTCGGGCCGGCGCGGGCAGGCGGCGGGTGAGGGGCCGGCACTCCTGAGCAGTTCACAGGGCTTGGGTTTCTCTCGGGCCTCGGCTGACAGCGGTCACGTCTCGTCCATCTAGAGGAAAGGCATGTAGGATGCGGGCTGTGCAAGCCAGTTTGAAAACTCAGAGGAATTTGGTCAGTAAGGAACTGATTAATCAAAAAAAAAAAGAAAAAAAAGAACCAAACCGTACGTGGAGAAATCCCCTAGTGAGGCCCCTGTAGCGTCTGCATGCTGCCTGGTGGGGGTAGGGGGGCCTCGGGGCAAAGTGACCCAGGCCTTGCCCACCCTCCATGTCCACAGAGCCCCTGGGGCCACGTCTGAGTGCCCAACCCTGTGGGGAGCCTGGGTGCACACTGGCTTCTAGGGGGGGTGGGAGCCCCCGTTCGCCAGGAGGCCTTGGGAGGCTGAGATCCTGTCCACAGCCAGCTCTGAGGGCCCAGGTCTGGGGAGCAGGTCCTGCACCCACCGAGGACCCCTACAGCGAGGGAGCACGGGGCAGGGCTGCCAGGGTGAGCCACAGGCAGGAGTTGGGGGCTGAGGCTAGACTCCAGCGGCTAGAGGAGCGCCAGCCTCCAGAAAGGCGCCCCCTCGGGAGGCCTGCGCTGGAAGCAGAGCGAGTGGCCGTGGCTGCAGGTGGCGTCTGAGCCGGGCACCGTGTCCCCGTGGCCGGGGCAGCACCCCAGCTCCCCTGGCACCGGCCCGCTCCCCGCAGACCGGCCTGTACCTCACTCACCAGCCAGCACGGTGGCTGCCGGGCCTGTGTCTCAGCGAGCCCTCGGCCCCTGTGGGGTGGGGCAGACCAGGTCCCCACCGGGCTCTATGCTGTGGGGTGGCACTTCTCCCATCACCAGGACCTTGGAGTCCTGGACGCGGGTGGTGGGAGTGGACATCCCCGAGGTGGGCAAGGCTGCACCTACTTATCTCACGTTGAGGGCAGAGGGCCCACCAGGTGGACATCAGGGCCCCTCCTCCTCTGCCCCTGCCTGCTGCGGCCGAGGCAGCACCCCCACCCATGGGGTGCTGCACCACTTCCTGGTGTCGCTTGGACTTCAGCCCAACTGGCCGAGGCCTGGGGACCAGGCGGCTCCACGGAGAGCCCCACCCACCGCAGCAACCCTATTGCTCCTGCTGTCTTGGCCCAGGTCAGCCTGATGTGTCTTGCGTTGTGGGGGAAACAGCGACAGAAACGTAAGACTCAGAGCATATGGGGCGCGTCCAGCACAGAACTGGAGGTGCCGCTCGCAGATATACTGGGAACTCCGGGCAGAGGGAGGCGGGAGGAGGCTGGCTGGGCCCCACTCCGCACCATCCCAGGGGTGCGCCACCTCCCGGCCACCTGCTGCCGCCTCTCCAGGGCCGCCCGTCCTGGAGGCTTCCAGGGGAGGGGTCGGGCCTCGGGGGCCGGGTGCGCTGGTGTACACGGGCAAGTCGTGGGCCTCAGTGCTGCCCTGGAGCCACGTGGGCAGAGATGTGCCTCGCCTTCCGGCCACGGCTCTAACAAGCCCAAATCAATCTCTCCGTGGGCAGGCGGGCAGGCTAGCGCTGCAGACGCAGCTGGGGCTCCGCGCGGAGCCGAGCGAGGTAATGGGAACCAGATGGGCCCAGCGCATTCCTGGCACCTGAGGTCACGCGCCGAGCGAGCCCTGGTGGCCGGGTCCTTCCCCGGAGTCCTGGTCCGGGCGGGCTCAGCAGGGCCCACGGTGCCTGGGCCCTGGGTCACCCTCACCAGGACCCTGGGCATCCGCCCACCTGGGGGTCCCCGCTCTGCCCCCTCTGGCAGGCTCTGGGCCGCGGCTGCCCTCAGACAGGTGGTGTGCAGACCGCCCTGCCTCCCGCCTCAGGCGGGTCCATAGTCTTAAAGAGGCTGATTTACACTAGCCAGGCAGCTCTCCCTCCAGGCCCAGGCTGGTCGGCCAGGCCTCCCCTCGCCCCCATTGCTGGCCGGGGCGTGCCGCCCTCCCCAATCCTGCCAGGGGTGCGCCGCCGAAGCAAGCAGTGGGATGTGCGGGCCGGTGGGTGGCAGACACTGCCCACGCGTCCAGGGACCAAGGACAGGGCTCTGACCCCATGACCAACCCCGGTGCTGGCGGGAAGGATGGCCCGTCTTCTCCAGCCCAGGCGGTCCCAGCTTCCAGGAGGAGGAAGACCCTGCCCCCTGGGTCCCTCCCAGGCAGCGATGCTGGCCTGCATGCACCCCACCCCGCAGGGACCCCCTCTCTGTCCCCACTGTTAACAGCCCCCCAAAGCAGGCCACGTGGGTTCTGGCACGTCCACCGCTCTGATCCCAAGGGCTTGAGCTCCCGGGAGAGGCAGGGGCAGGTCCTCACCCCTGACAGTCAGGGCGCAAGCCTGCTCTGCGCGCTTTGCCTGCCCCCGCGGGGCCTTGCCTGTGGAGCAGAGGGGCGGCTGCTCTGGCGCTGGGGCACTCAGCCCCGAGCCTGGATTCCTGGGCAAGACGGGCAGAGGGCGTGGGACCCGCGGGGTGCTTGTCACCGTGGACGGGGAGGAGGAGGGACGTCCCGGATGGTGGGGAATCCTGGAGGCGGGGCTCCTGGGAGTCCCTGGGGGTGGGGCGTCCAGGGAGGCGGGGTGTCCTGGGATGGGGGGTGTCCTGGAGTGGGGCGCATCCAGGGGGCAGAGTGTCCTGGGGGTGGGGCATCCTGGGGCTGATGAGGGAAGAGCATCGGAAGCAAACCTAAGGAGCCGCCTGACGTCTCCCTGCTGGTCTGATCACAGGTGCGCGGGACCCACAAGCTCACCAACCCCGGGATCGCCGACGTCAAGATCCGGCCAGACAGCAAGATCCTGGCCACTGCGGGCTGGGACCACCGTGTCCGCGTGTTTCAGTGGCGGACGATGCGGCCGCTGGCCGTGCTGGCCTTCCACAGCGCCACCATCCACTGCGTGGCCTTCGACACCGCGGGCCTGCTGGCCGCGGGCTCCGGGGACCAGCGCATCAGCGTCTGGTCGCTCTACCCGCCCACGTGACTCAGCATGGAGGGGATGCAGGCACAGAGGCGTGGTCCTGGGCCCCCTCCTGCCCGGGGCCAACTCCCCATCATGACGACGCAGAGACTGTGGGCCCTGGTGGCTGCTGTTTACGGCATAACCAGGCTGGATGCTGGGCACCTGCCAGGCAAGAGAGGCCATTCTCCGCACCTGACAATAAACTCGTTTGCAGACCAGCAGTTTGGAGGTGTGAATTTTCCCAGGTGACCCCTGCTTCCCTGGGGCGGCAGAGCCAGGGCCATCCTCAGAGCGTCCCCCGGCAGGTGGCCGGCCACACAGCGGGGTGGGGGTGGGGGTCGTGGTCCCAGGCTCCACGCCCCCGCAGACAGCCCGGGCTGAGGGCTGAGAGTGTGCCCGAGCGAGAGGATGCCAATGGGGGGTGGGGAGGGGGCCAGGCCTGCAGCGGGGCCCCAGGAGGAGGGCTCAGCCCAGGAGTGAGGCTGATGAGCAGTTGGCCACCGTAGGGTGGCCTTTGGGTGTGGGGCGCGGTGGCTGAGCTGGGAAGACGGCGACCCAGAGCAGCTTCTGACCCTCCTCGCCAGGCTGTGGGCTGGGAGGAAGAAGACCCTGGCGCTGGGCGTGGGGGCTGTGGGAGACCCCAGCGGAACCCAGGCCACAGGCCCCTTGGTCCCACCGGCTTCTTTGTGAAGGAGCCCCCGGGCGCCTGGTCAGGGAGGAGTGCCCGCTTTGTCTGTGGCCTCGGAGGCCTCCCTGAGGGGCGCCCGGGGCCCCCGCCCTCACTGTGCTTCACGCGGTGGGCCCGGGCGGGTGGGCCTGTGGGGGCTGCGCTCCAGGGCTGCCCGGCCCTCACCAGCATCTGGAGCCCACGTGTGCATCCAGGTGGCGGACACCGTGCTGCGAGGGCAGGGCCCCGCCGGAGGGTCTGGCCTCCAGGTCCCACGCGGAGCCAGGGGACGGCGAGCTTCAGCTGGTGGGGTGAGGCAGGGAGGCAGGTGTGGTTGACATGCCAGCACCGCGGGGGCGGCAGCAGGAGGGCCCGAGGGGGTTGGGGGGGCTTCACGTGAGACCGGTCCCCCGCCCCAGAGGAGGCAGCTCCTTGCAGCCCTGAGGGGCACCCGCATCCTTGGAGAGCTCTGTGATTAGATACGAGCATTGTCACTGAACTTGCAGCCAGCGTTGACGCATTGGGGAATTCTGCTCTATCACAGCCATAAGCTGATTTATGAGCGGAGGTGGGGTGTGACGGCATGGGGAGTTATCACTGCACAACATCCAGCTGATCAGTCTGGAGGGTGAACAACTGACGTTTTTATTTGGAAATTTCAAGCATAGATCAAAGTGAAGGGGAAAAGCACAGAGCCAGCACCCAGCTTCAGCGTGAGGCCTTGGCCTCCAGTTGTCAGGCCAGCTCTGGAGTTCATCCGGGGGGCCTGGGCGAGCCGAGGCCACGGGCCTTCCCTGGGCCACGACCCTGGGCCTCGATGCACCTCTCAGCTCAGCTCCTTGGGGAAGGACGGCAGGAGATGGTTCGGGGAGTGACTGAGCCCCCGAGTTGCACGGCTGGGCTCAGGGATGGGAGGGGGAACACGGGGCAGGGGGCGAGGGGCCCGGCCCAGGGCTGGGCTGGGGGGACACCACGGGGCTCCGGGCGCCGTCCCCCAGCCCCACTGCCCCATTCCTCCCGGCGTCCAGCGCCGCCCCTTCCAGCCTGGGTGTGGACATGGTGCCCAGCCGTCCATGCCACCGTCCCCCCTCGTCTGGGCCGGGCCCCGTGGACAGAGGGACCCCGCGGGGCGTGTCCCTGTCCGTCCGTCTGCCCCTCGTGGTGGACGTGCACCCTGAGGCCCCCTCCCGCCCAGCCTGGCCGTGCGCAGCCCTGAGCGCTGGGCCTGGACCCCCCGAGCCCGTCCTGGGCCTGCTCTCCCCGCAGCATGGCTGACCCCGTCCTGGTAGACGTCGCTGTCTTCCCCGGCGCACACAGTACTCGAGCGCAGAAACTCTCTGAGGACGCCGTGGCGCTGGATGTGCCCGGAGGTGTCGCTCTGCCCACCCCCCTCCCCGGGCCTGGCCCCGAGGGTCGAGGGTGGGAGCCCCACACACAGAGGGGAAGACGCTGGGTGGGCCAGGAGGGTGCGGAGTCAGCAGGACCCCCCCACTCCCAGGGTCAGGGTCAGGGGTCAGGAGTCGACACAGGCTCTGACTGGCACTTCAGTAACCTTCCTGGTGGTTTCGGGGACCTTTCTCAGGGTCACCCCCCGGGCCTGCCCCACAGGCCCCTTCTGCTCCAGAGCCACTGGGACAGGCCAGGCTCTGGCTTTCAGAGGGGCCCTCTCCTGGGGGTCCTGAGCCCACACCCCGCTGGAGCCCGCAGCTGGACGGCCTGCCTCATGGCAAGTCTGGGCCCCTGGGCACGGGGCTGGGTGGACCTGGCCTGGTGGGCACACAGCCAAGAGAGGGGCTCCCGCGGGAGGGACACGTGTCCGTCCAGCTGCGTGCCAGGCAGGCCACGGGGCTCAGAACACCGGCTGCGCTGTGAGCTGACCCTAACCCTGTGCCCCCAAGATTCCTGTGCCCTCAGGGGGCTTGCCTCCACCTGCCTAGGGTGACAACCGGCCGGAGTCTCCAGACAGGAAACGACCCTGGGAAAAACTGTCGGTTTACAGACTCGTGAGGACTGACTTGGGCTTCCCAGGGGGCACGGTGGTAAACAGCCTGCCTGCCAAGGCAGGAGACTCAGGTTTGATCCCTGGGATCTTCCCTGGAGGATCCCCTGGAGGAGGGCATAGCAACTCAAGCCAGTATTCTTGCCTGGAGAGTCCATGGACGGAGGAGCCTGGCGGGCTGCAGTCCACAGGGTCACAGAAGAATCAGACACGACTGAGTGAGGACTTACTTGATCAATTCGAGATGAATAGCATGGTTTTAATAGACTGTGAATAACCCAGGGGTTATAAATTGTTAAACATACGTAAATACACTTAAAAGTTTCTGGCATCTTGGCTGTTTTTTGGTGCACGGCTCAGCGGCATAGGGGCCCCACACGGGGTCCTGCAGCGGTCAGCACACACATCTCCAGAGCTTTCCGTCTTCCCAAACTGACGGTCTGCCCCGTCCCTGTCCTCCGCCCTGGTCCCCACCATCTACTTCCTGTCTGTGACTCTGATGACCCCGGGGCCTCATGCAGGTGGAGCCACGCAGGGTCTGTCCTGCGTCTGGCGCTTCACCGGGCATCCGGTCCTCGGAGCTCATACGTGTCGTGGCGCCAGCACGTCCTTCCTTTTTATCCCTCGTGTGGACAGACCGGGCCTCTGTCCATTCATCGGTCGACCTGTTCCGTCCACTGCTGAGCTGTCTGCGGGGGAGGGGGTGTGTGACTCCCGCCACTCGAAGGCTGGACCACCCTGAGCGTGGGCTCAGGGCCCGCTCCCGGCTCTCCTGGGTCCACACCGGGCATGGGATTCCATCCACCGGCTGTGCCTGCTGCCTGGCTCTGCGCCCGCCAGCACTAGCTGTCTTCCGGGGCTTTCTGCTGTTGACAGCCGCCCTTGTGGGTGTGAGCTGCTCCTTGCCGTGGTCTAATCCAGGTTCTGCGTTCACCCTCAGTTATCTTCCAGGGGTGCACATGGCAGGATCTCTATCTTCTGGGAACTCGCTCCCTAGGGGGCACACTTGCGTGGCAGCCGCTGACCACTGGAGGGACCCAGGAGCAGAGAGCAAGCCTGGGCCAGCTTCCCCGGGGCCGAGTCCGCCCTGTTGGCACGGGGTGGGGTGTCCAGCCCACCCCAGACAGGGGCCCTTCCCGGCATCCACGGTGCTGGGCGGCCGGGACGCCAGGGCCCCACCAGCAGCCCACCTGCAGAGCAGAGGACCGGCTACCAAGGCCTTGGATCCGGGAGAGCACCCCGCCCTGCCGTGTCGCGGGCACGGCTCCCAGCTCTCCCCAAGTGGATGCTGATGGCGTCCTGGGCCCCCTCACTGAAGGCACCCCCCAGCCGGCCCCCCGAAGGCACAGAGGGCCTGCTCATCTGGGCCACAGAGGGGAAACGTGCCAGGACCGCCAGCCCCCAGGCCACCACCCGCCTGCTCGGAGAGGGGGCAGCTCTCCAGGAGTGCCTCCGGTCACACAGCCCAGGGGGCAGCAGCCCATGTGGGGCCCATGGCCTCCCCTCAGCCGCCCCACAGAGACGGGGCTTCATCCTGAACGGCCGGAGGCTTCTCGCTGGCATTGGGGGGTGCGTGGGGGTGGGCGGGGCCCCAGGGTGGATGGTGGGGCCCGCTCAGCGGGCAGCCTGGAGGCCTGTGGCCCCTGCGGCCATGTCCCCCTCCTCGCTGAGAGGCCCTCGGGCAGGAGTGCAGCTGGCAGCCCAGGGCCCCACAGGCTCTCCGGAGGAACGGCCGCCTGAGAGCCCCCAGATCTGGCCAGCTGCCTCTCAAGGAAGCTGCCTGATTTCCTTCTCACGTTAAGAAGATCCACTCGCTGTTATCAGGAGGGAGGCCGCTTGCACATACGCGGTAGCCCCCATTTGTGCTACAGCCTCATGGCTGGACCCCCAGCCCCCAGCGCCGCTTCAGAGTTGGGAGGTGGCCTCCAGGCGCCTGGGGAACCTCACCCAGGCCAGTCAAGGGCACACGGCCTGTAGGGCTCCTGCAGCCAGGAGCCGGCGGCCAGGCAGCCCATGGGCACAGGGCGTCCCAGGGCGTTGAGGCACATGGGAGGGCCCAGTGGACCAGGCGTCCCCGCCGTGGACTGCCTGCCTGCCCGCGGCACACAGCCTGCTTGGGGAAGGCCCGTGTGCATCCCGGGACCACGGGGAGACAAACCGTTGGCCCTGCCCTGCACAAGGCCCCCATCGGCCTGGCCGCCGCCACCATCCTTACTGGGTGATGAGCTCATGGACATACTGGGGAAGAACCTCAGAAATGCATCCGGGATAAAGCCTGAATTCAGAGGCGGGAGGAAAGGGAGAGGGGCTGAGGCCAGGATGACAAGGAGGAGCTGGGACGGTTAGCGTCCTGGAGGGGCCAGTACTGGGGGGGTGTCTTCCAGGAGAGAGGGCACCCCCAGAGCTGCAGGGGCCTGGCCCACCACACACAAGCACGTAGCTGAGAACACGAGGCTCCAGGTGTCGCTGCTGAGGCAGGCTGAGGCCCTGGGCATTGGCGATGGCGCCTCAGGACTGCTGGTGCCCAGGGCCACGCCGCAGGAGCACCCGTCTGTACGCGGGCCCAGCCGGGGGTGGGGGGGCAGGGGGCGCGGTGGTGGGGCTGGGAGGAGGGGTTGGGCGTGTGCTCCCTGCGATCAAGAGCTGATGGAGAAGGGATGTCAACATTACCCTTTATAATTAAGAAGATCGTTTAATCGCTGCTATTAAGACCTAAGCTCCCCCAAAGTGGGCTGCTTTCATCAGAACCCCTTTGGTTCTGCCGATTCCCACACGCAGACCTGGCAGCAGTTGAGTGGAGGCTCCGAGAGTCCCCATCTGGTTTAAGAATGACAACGAACAGGAAAGGGAATTGCATCAAAGGCACAATTGGTGTTTTTCTAAATACAGAGCGTGTGTGAGGTGGACCAGCACACACCGCATCTGCCCTCCAAGAGCGGGGCCACGTCACAGTCCCCACACCCCACCCCGGCCTGCTCCCAACTGGGAGGCCGCGTGAGCATCCCCCGACCCAGACCACGGCTGCCACAGGGATGTCCCCTGAGAGCCCTCACTATAGCCAGGACCTCACGCTGTATGGAGGGTGTCCGCCTCGCGTCCTCACGCGGCGAGGTCGGGTCTGCGGGGTCTCGGGGCTCCTACAGCGGGCCTCTGGGGGCCCGGCTGAACAGGCACCGGGAGAGTCACCAGAACCGCAACCGCTGGGCCGGGGGCGGGCGGCTCCTGAACGCCCCGGGAGGCGGCAGGACCAGGGCGCCCTCCACCCCGGGACGTGGGACGCGGTCCCCCACAGCCCAGGCTGCTTGGGATCCAGGGGCTCCTCCCCCCACTCCTGCCTTTACCTCTTCACGCGGCGGGCGTCGAGGCTCTTCGAAGAGCTTCGGGACCGAAGGGTCCGGAGCCCCTGGACCAGGTCTCTGAGGTCCCTCCTGGCCCTGGAGACAGACATGGGGCCAGAACGGGGTCTCTGGGCACAGGGAGGATGCTCAGGGTGTCCGACAGCTGGGAGGGAGCCCCCGAGGAGGATCCGAGCCCCCCCAGAGAAGGGTCGGAGTGGGAAGCAGGGGCCAGCGGGGTGGGGGAGGGGGATGGCCTGTCCCAGGGAGGTGCCTGCACCTGGGGACAAGTGACCGAGAGGCCCAAGTGCCCTTCAGAGGCCCGATGACCTGAGCCAGGCCTCCCCCCGATCCCAGGATGAGAGGGAGGGTGACTGTGGCGTGGGGGGCACAGCACAGCCCAGCACCCACCCAAGAACAAGCGAGGGCCCCTCACATGAGTCTGGACGTGGGTCTGCAGTGGCTGGCGGGAACCTCAGCTCGTGGCTGGCCTGTGACAAGGTCTCAGCCAGGTCAACTCAGCCGCGGAGGAAGCGGGAAAAAACACATCTCTAGGAGTGGGGGCTTCGCCCCAGGTCAGGCAAGCATCTGCAGAGCCCAGCCACAGGTGCCTGGCTCTCGAATGCAGCTGGTGGGAGCCCAGCATCCACCTTTATTCCATCCTTCTTGTTGGCATTGGCCCGCCCTGCGGTGGGCACAGCAACCCTCGCTCTAGTCTGGGGAGGGGGCGGTCTTGGGAGGCGCCGCTCAACTGCCAACGCTGGTCACCAGAGAACACGTGCCCTCACTTCAGCGCTGAACAAACCCAAAATGGAGATTTCTGCACCCGTGGTTCTCCCTGGTCTGGACGGAGCGTGGGAGGACGGAGCGCCACGTGGAGACCGACTGGGCAGAGCAAACCACGGCGTGTCTCTCCACCCAGGACGAGGAGGGCTGGCTGCATTTGTGGCCCCAAGCGAGGAAGCCAGGGGCACAACCGACTCACTCAGAGGCAGACCTGGGGTTGAGGGCAGACTATCCACTAGGGCGGAGCCGCTGGGGCAGCATCCAGGGCTGCGTTCCTGAAGCTCTGTCCACCAAGCCTGCTGGCCACTCAGGAAGACGCTGCAGGGGTCTTCACGCCCGGCGCCAGGTACTCCGTGAGGATCTGGGGGCCCTGGTCCCCCTGCTCACTCCTCAGCAGCCGTGGTCACCATGTCCCATCCTAGACCGGACTCACGAGAATGGCTCCTGCCCTCCAATCGCTGAGCTCCACTTACCGCCTCCAGGGCAGACACCTCCAGAAAGAAAGTGTCAGCCCAGGGCAGACATCAGGAACGCCCGGCCATGCCCTGGGACTGGTGGCCCAGGCCCTGGCTGCCAGGTGGCCTCCAGGCCCACAGACGCAGCGGGTCAGGCCCGGAAGGGGGACGGGGCCTCAGCCACTCACACTTCCTGTCCCTCTCGTGTCCAGGCCAGCAGCCTTGACGCTGACGGCTCTTCCTGCCTGGACTCAGGAAGGGACCGCATCAAAGGTCCGGTGTAGCACTGATGGGGAGAGGTCCCACGCCACCTGGCCTGGGAAAAACGCTTCCCAGGCAGGTTTCAGGATGACTCATGACCACTGTCATTGTGGCCTCGCTCAGGCCACCCCGTGGGGACTCTGGCAGCAAAGAGAGTCAATAAACAGGGGAAGGCACAGGCCTGGGCGGGGGCCAGCGGGGAAGCGCTCTGAGAGCAGAGTCAGGGTTTCTTCCCTTCCCAGCCCCCAGCGGACAGAGTCCATCCTGCTCGACCAGGACTGTTATCCCAGCTTCCATGGAAAAACAGGACAGGCACCGGTCCTGAAAACGGGCCATGGGCGGGGCCCGGGTTCTAGGCAGAGGGGCAGCTGCCAAGGCAGGAATGTCAAGCCGCGAGGCCGGATGAACACCTGGGACGAGGAGCTCAGGCCGCGGGGACCTCGAGGTGGAAGGGGGGGGGGTGCGGAGCGCGCGGG